CAACCAAAGGGAGTAAGACGCCCTCAAATGTACTAAACACACCCGTTTTCCGATACATCCCAATGTCAAGAAGAAAGAATGGTCAATCCCCATTCGAAACTGAAGCAAGCAAAGCCGATGCACAACGGTACGTGGATAATGTAAAGTTGCTCAAGACGAATACAGTTCTACCTCTGACACAGCTAAGCAATGCTAAGGTTGCAAGATTACCACAAGGCTTCGTAAAAGCTCTACCAAAGAGAGCAGAACCAAGTTTTCTCCCAACCAAGAGGACTGAAGAAGGTTTTGATCCGAACGCCTATAAACTCATGTCAAAAGCTGGGTACGACTTCGCTTCTTCTTCGAATCCTGGAAAAAAGGTTTCAAACACCGTCAACAATAAAGAACGTGACCTCACCGAGACTCAAAAGAAGTTGAAGAAGCATGGTTACGGAGTTAACAACAACAAAGCTGGACTTGGCTTCACACCAAATGCACCCGTGAAGATTTCAAGCCAAGCGAAAAATGCTAGCACTCAACATATCAGTGTGAGCATTGAACAAGATCAAGATGAGCCTAAATCCACCTCTCGAACGCCAGTCTTCGATAGGATGAATCGTTCAAGACCCAGAACGTCAGCCCTTGATCACATTGGTGGTCAAAACCGAACCTCCGTCTTCAAGAGGCTTAACAGGCCAACCTCCCGAAGCTCTATTTTTGAAAGGTTGTCAAAACCTAATAAGCAAAGCAACACGGCTAGCTCTCCTCCTCGTCAGTCAGCTTTGGAAAGACTTGAAGACAACATGAAGTTTTCTGGAAATAGGGAAACAACATCAAAGGAAGAAAAGCTCAACAGGCTAGTAGAAAAAGGCGATATTCGAAGCTCAATTCCTTCAAGGATGAAGCGTCAAGCAATCTTGGAGGTTGACGCAAATGGACCACTGATAGAAAGAAGGCGCACCATCATCCATACTGGACAATCTGCATACCAACAAACCCAAGAGGACGACACTAAAGAGGAAGTCCAAGATGTCTTCCACATCACGATCCAAGAAGGCAAAGAAGACGAGACCCCTGAAGAAGATGTCACTGCTGCACCACCACAACTTGAGGATGGGGGCAAGCCACGGTTGACGATCTTAAGGAGCTTAACTTGGGCACAAAAGAGGAGCAAAAACCTATCTTTGTAAGTGCACTGCTAAGAACAGACGAGATAGATGAGTACTACCAACTGCTATCAGAGTACAAAGACGTCTTTGCCTGGACTTACAAAGAAATGCTCGGCCTTGACCCTGTCATCGCTGTGCATCATCTTGCAGTCAAGCCTGGAACACGACCAATAAAGCAAACTCAAAGGCGATATCGATCCGAGCTCATTCCACAAATCGAGGCAGAGATTGACAAGCTAATCGAAGCAGGATTCATTCGAGAGGTGCAATACCCCAAGTGGATCTCCAACATCGTCATCGTCCTTAAGAAATCTGGACAAATACGTGTTTGCGTAGACTTCCGGGACCTCAACGACGCTTGTCCGAAGGACGACTTCCCCTTGCCAATCATCGAAATCATGGTGGACGCAACCACTGGCCACGAGGCACTGTCATTCATGGACGGCTCTTCTGGATACAATCAAATTCGTATGGCTCTCGAAGACGAGGAACTAACAGCATTCCGCACTCCAAAAGGTATCTACTATTACAAGGTGATGCCCTTTGGTCTAAAGAACGCTGGAGCTACATATCAACGAGCAATGCAGAAAATCTTCAATGACATGCTACACAAGAACGTAGAATGTTATGTGGATGATGTGGTGGTCAAAACAAAGAAAAGATCAGATCACTTGAAGGATTTACGAGTAGTGTTCGAAATGCTACGAAAATACAACCTCAAGATAAACCCGTTAAAATGTGCGTTTGGCGTCACCTCCGGAAAGTTCCTCGGCTTCATTGTCAAGCACCGTGGTATTGAAGTGGACCAATCAAAAATCAAGGCCATTCAAAGCATGCATGAGCCAAGAAACCTGCACGAGCTGAAAAGTCTACAAGGACGGCTTGCCTTTCTCAGACGCTTCATCTCTAACCTTGCAGGGCGTTGTCAACCGTTCAGCCGACTCATGAAGAAGGATGTTCCGTTTGTATGGGACGAAGCATGCCACAATATTTTTGAAAACATAAAAAAGTATTTGTCAAATCCACCTGTCTTGGGGGCACCTGTGCCCGGGAAACCACTCATATTGTACATCGCCGCTCAGGAAAGTTCAGTTGGAGCACTCTTGGCGCAAGAGAATGAATCCCAGAAAGAAGGAGCGCTTTACTACCTCAGCCGAACCCTTACCGGCGCCGAGTTGAACTACTCCCCAATTGAAAAGATGTGTCTTGCCTTGGTGTTCGCCATCTAGAAACTCAGGCATTACATGCATGCGTACACCATCCACTTGGTTGCAAAAGCTGACCCGGTCAAATACGTCATGTCCAACCCGTCTTGACAGGGCGACTCGCTAAATGGGCGCTGCTTCTTAACCAATATGAGATCATCTACGTCCCAGCTAAAGCCGTAAAGGGACAAGCGCTGGCAGACTTTCTTGCCGATCACCAAATCCCAGCTGATTGGAAAATCTCAGACGACTTGCCTGACGAGGAAGTGTTCTACATCGACATCTTCCCGACATGGACGATGTTCTTCGACGGATCTGCACGAGCAGACGGAGTGGGGGCAGGAGTAGTATTCATGTCGCCACAAAGGCATATATTACCTTATTCCTTTCAACTAAGCGAATTATGCTCCAACAATGTCGCTGAGTACCAAGCACTGATCATCGGACTCCAAATGGCGATCAATATGGGAATCACAGCCCTTGAGATATTTGGCGACTCCAAGCTCATAATCAATCAACTCTTAACTGAATATGAGGTGAAGAAAGATGATCTCATCCCATACTTTCGGCTGGCAACTCAACTGCTACAAGAGTTTGAGACTGTGATACTAGAGCATGTGCCAAGAAAAGAAAATCAAATGGCAAACGCTCTTGCCAACCTAGCCTCAAGCATGACATTAGGAGAAGATGAAGCTGCAGACGTGCCAGTCTGCCAAAGATGGGTGATCCCCCTCGTCACTGAAATGCTACTAGATGATACAAATGTCATCTCAGTACTTCCAGTCGATGTTGAAGAGTGGAGACAACCGCTGATCGATTACTTAGAGCATGGAAAACTTCCAGACGATCCTAAACACCGCTCCGAAATACGTCGACGAGCACCTCGCTTCCTCTATTACAATGAAACACTCTACCGACGCTCTTTCGAAGGAGTACTTCTGAGATGCCTAGGTGAGGAAGAAGTTAATCAAGCCATGGAAGAAGCACACTCAGGCGTATGCGGGGCGCATCAATCTGGACCAAAGCTACATTTCCAGCTCAAAAGAATGGGCTACTACTGGCCAAGCATGGTGAATGACTGCTTGGAATATGCCAAAAGGTGCCAAGCCTGCCAATTCCACGCAAACTTCATACACCAACCACCTGAGCCATTACACCCTACAGTTGCTTCATGGCCATTCGATGCATGGGGATTGGACGTCGTAGGACCAATTACTCCGAAATCATCTATAGGAGAAGCTTACATCCTAGCTGCAACAGATTACTTCTCCAAGTGGGCTGAAGCCATACCCCTAAGGGAAGTAAAGAAGGAAACTGTCGTCCGTTTCATCAAGGAGCACATCATCCACCGATATGGGGTGCCTCGCTACATCATCACTGACAACGGAAAGCAATTCTCCAACCGACTCGTGGATGAGCTATGTGAGAAATACAAGTTCAAGCAGCATAAGTCTTCCATGTATCATGCCCCGGCCAACGATCTTGCATAAGCATTCAACAAAACATTGTGCAATCTCTTAAAGAAGGTGATCAGCCGAACAAAGAGAGATTGGCATGAAAGAATAAGCGAAGCACTTTGGGCATATCGGACGACACATAGGACTCCTACCCAAGCTACGCCTTATTCTCTTGTATATGGCGTGGAAGTTGTTCTACCGCTCGAAAGTCAAATCCCCTCACTAAGAATGGCTATACAAGAAGGCTTGACTGAGAAGGAGAATGCAAAGTTGCGCCTTCAAGAGTTGGAAGCACTCGACGAAAGAAGGCTCGAAGCTCAACAACACTTGGAATGCTACCAAGCACGGCTATCCAAGGCATTCAACAAGAAGGTTCACCCAAGGTCTTTCCAAACTGGAGATCTCGTCCTCGCATTGCGTAGGCCTATCATCACAACTCACAAGACGAAAAGCAAGTTCACATCAAAGTGGGATGGACCATACGTAATACAAGAGGTTTACACCAACGGCGCCTACTTAATCATGGCAGAAGACGGCTTGAAGATTGGTCCTATCAATGGAAGATTCTTGAAGCGCTACTACCCCTAAAAGGCGACAGCCAAAGCTCCTGGCCCGCAAGAGCATAAATTGTGTACGGCAAAATCATCAAAAAAAAAAAATGCATTTGAACTACGTTTTGACTTGATCTTTTCCTTGGAAGGGTACGTAGGCAGCTCGAACATTAAATTTCGAGTTCAGTCACATCAAAAAAATAAAATAAAAAAATGTTTTATTAATGAAAGTCAATTTCATTACATGTAAGAAAATAATAATAATAATAATAATAATAAAATTAAAAAAATAAAAAGATAAATAAGTGTCTCTTTAATAAAGGTCAATTTTATTACAAATTTATTTTGTTTAAAAAAAAAATTGCAATTTTCTTTGTACGCAATTAAATTATAGTTTCTTCGAAAAAAAAAAATATATATATATATAGAGACTCTTTTTATATATATGACCTCTATCCAGCCGGCCCATCAAAAGGAGGTCATCCAAACCCAAGTGGCAGTGACCAGGCCCAAATCTATGTCCAAAAAAAAAAAACAGCTCCAAGAAGAAAACCAAGTCCACCAGCCACAAATCCGGGCCCAGCTCTCAAAGCCCATCCTCGACTCCTTCCTCCTCAGACACCAGAAGGTTAAGACTCTCTCTCTCTAGTCAATTTAGAGGAAAAATTGCGAATTGGGGGAGATGGAGAAGGAGCTTCTAGAGTGGTTCGACGCCGTGAAGAAGACGGCGGACGCCGCCACATCTTGCGACGGAGGAGCCGAGGAAAGCCAATGCCTTGAGGCCTTCGAGCAGCTCAGCAATTTTCCCGTCACTCATCAAATCCTCGTCTCAACCCAAGTTGCGAAGCGTCTTCGACATCTCACAAAGCATCCTAGAAAGAAAATCCAGTCTGTTGCTTCTGGCCTGTTGGATAAATGGAAAGAGATTGTTATGATCGAGGTAAAAAAAAAACTGCGAAAAATGTGAACTTGGAGAGAATAGACTCTCTAAAACGTGATTCTCCACGTTCTGACAGCCCCAGGCCTGAGAAGGTTCAGAAGACATCTGCTGTGAAGGTTGAGAAGGTTTCCAAGGCTGAACCTGTTGAGGTTAAGAAGGTTGATCATGATATCAAACCAAGATCTGAGAATGCTTATGGTTCCGGAATTGTCAAAACAGAAAGGAAGGTTCCAAATCCTAATCCTGTCAAGACTGAGAAAGCTACTTCAGCGGAGACTGTTAATGTTGAAAAGATAGCCAAAGAAGTGAAGAAACCAGCACTCAACTCCTCTACAACCCCTCCGACACCGCCAGGAATGGGAGATCGACCCCTCCAAGCTCCTCATCAAGTCTGTCATTGCTCGTGGCAGCTTCGGCACCGTCCACCGTGGCATCTACGACGGTCAAGATGTCGCCGTTAAATTGCTTGACTGGGGTGAAGAGGGTCACAGGACAGACTCCGAGATTGCTTCTCTAAGGGCAGCTTTTACTCAAGAAGTTGCTGTCTGGCATAAACTAGATCATCCTAATGTTACTAAGTTTATTGGGGGCGACAATGGGTTCATCACATCTACAAATCCCTAGAAATCTTTCAGAAAAAACAAAAAAAAAAAAAACCCAAAATTCTCCGTCCTCTAGCTCCTCTGCCTCTTCCAGTCCCGAGCTTTAATCCGACCCCAACCCCGATTCTTCTGCTTGTCGGTGTATGTGACAATGTACCTTAACGATTGCCAGCGAACAGCTTTCTACCAAGGCATCGGCCTCAATACTAAAGAATTTGACATGCACGTTATCATTGAGACAAATCGCACTACAGCCAGAATTTTTTTTTTAGCAGTGCTCGATGTTGAGAACCCAGAATTCAAAAGGAAACTGGACCGCATGGTGGAGATTAACCAGAAGCTGATTGCTGTCGGGGAGAGTGACGACGAGGACGAAATCGAGATTGTGAAGTCCTTGCCAGAGCCACTTCGTGAATTTGCTTCGCAGTTTCTTATTGAATTGGCTTCAAAAGCTGCATCATCCAATCTAGTGTTTGCAGAGCTTATTAAATGCTCCTCGAAGATGGGCTTGTCATACTTGATTCCAAATGCCCAGGTTCAGATGGCTCCACCAGTGCTTCATATACCTTCAAGGATAGTGGTGTTTTATCCGATCGACATGCAACTACAAAGGAGATGGAGGTTGATATCCCAGATTCATCCAAGCTCTATTCTCCCTCTGGGATGGTTGAATCAAAGTCAGTGGGAACATTTTCACCTTTCCAAAAGCAAGATAGTCACAAGGGTCTCTTTGTGGATAGGAGTGTTGGATCTCCTAGGCTAGTTAAATCTTCTAGTACTAGTACTTTCTCCGAGTCCAGATTTGATACAGAAAAAAAAAAAAGAATTTGATGCCAGAAGCTGCTGGAGCGGTTGCGGCTGCAGACGTAGCTGATCAAATGCTTGGACCAAAAGAAGATAAACTTTTGGCAATTGTCCTGGTTGGTTTGCCTGCTTGTGAAAAAACTTTTACAGCAGCTAAGTTTACAAGGTACCTCCGCCATGGTTGCTGCCTTTGAATGTGATTGACAAAACCAAAGTTTGTCAACTCACACCCAAAGGCCTTCTCTCCGTCCGTAACAAACAACAACGACGAAGAACTTCAATAAACTGTCGTCAAACGACTAGCCGGTAGTGAAGCTCAATGTCTTGCATTCTACCTCAAACTCCAGTTGCTTCTGCACCTCCGCCATGGCTGCTGCTTTTGAATGAGATTGACAAAACCAATGTTTGTCAACTCACACCCAAAGGCCTTCTCTCCGTCTGTGATAAACAACAACGAAGAACTTCAATAAACCGCCGTCAAACGACTAGCCGGTCATGAAGCCTCGACTGCAGCTCACCGTCCGTCGAGTTCCATCCCTACAAAGCACCATATATAAAGAAAAAAAAAAAAAAAAAAAAAAAAAAAAAAAAAGGTTTTCAAATGGTGACCAGCCACCAAAAGCAAAGAAAAGAAGTGATTGACAGGCACCATCCAAAAGGAAATGATAAAAAGGAAAAAAACAAGAAAGGCAGGTCATGGTGTATGCTACTATTAGCAATTATGAAAAAGGAAATAGGTGATGGAGACAGAATAATTGAAAAGAAGAAAGCAAGGGGAAGACGACGAATTTCCGTCTAAAAATAGGGAGTAAAAGAATAGTGCACATCAGGTACCATCTAAATAATAAATAAATAAATAAATAAAAAATAATAAAAAAAGGAGTAACACATCTTAGTCACATATATGTTTTAGCACAACATACTGAATAAAATAAAGCATGTCTATTGATATCTCCAAAGAAAAAAAAAAAAAAAAAAAAAAAAGACAAATCAAATTTACAGGAAGGGATCTTCAAGGATGATCAGGTGGCGCCTCATCACTCGGCGGAGCTCCAGAAAGACGAAGCACCAGAGATTGATTATCCGGACCTTCAACACTTGGGGAAGCGCCAGAGGACGAAGGCAGAAGTTGCTGCTGGAGTAACGTCACAAACCTCTGATGATCACTCTGAATCCGAACTTCGGACTCCTGCAGTTGGTCAAGCTTCCTCTTCATGCTTGTTGAGTAATTAGTTGCGAGCATGTGCAACTCTTTATTCTCGTGCCTAAGCACCCTGACCTCTTGCCGAAGACTGGCCACCTCAGCCATCAACGACTCAACCTGACGAGATCGAGCAAGAAGGCGTTGGCCCATGTTTGAAACTGAACCTGCACATCGGACACTGTAGGCTAGAGAGTCCTGAACAGCCAGCTCGTCGGACCGCCTGGAAATTATCCTAGTGTCTCTAGGAGTGAGAAGATTTCTGGCCACCACCGAAGCGGTTGTATCGTTCATCATCATAGAATCCCCAACTGTAAGAAGACCATTGGGAGATACGAATGACGGCTGCCAAATGTTGTTTGAAGAAGATATGTCATTATCTTCCCCGACATTCAAGTTAAGACGACGGTCAGAAGGGCAAGACATTTTCGAAGGTGTGAAGAAAAAGAAGAGGTCGAACAAATCAAGTTCTTAGAAGTGCAAGTAGGGAACTTCTACAGGCGAAAAATTCAAGTGTGCTTTGGAATGTGATGCGTGCCTCTCTTTTAAAATCAGCACTTTCAGAAATCGAAGAGGCGAGTTCAGAAATCGAAGAGGCAAGCTCAGAGATCGAATAGACGTCTGCTTTCTCAAAAGCTGGGCTGCTCAGAAACCACGGGCCGATCTCAGATATCGAAGAGGCGCCAGTTTTTCAGCCTCGTCAGCACCTATCACATGCACACTCAGCTTTGCGAAAATCACGGATAATTTGTCGAAGCGCCGATCTCAAATATCGAAGAGGCGCCAGTCTTTTTCAGCCTCGTCAGCACCTGTCACATGCACACTTAGCTTTGCGGAAATTACGGGCAATTTGTCGAAGATTTCTGATGAAGAAGAAAGCGCGTAGAGCCATACTGATCAATCACTCGATGGTTGCCAACACGAGTGAAAGAATAGTACCTCTACAGGTATTAAAGAACTTCCTATAACTGTCCACCTTCACCGTCCATAGCAAGGCAGACCTGCAAAAAATGCCTAACCCTTCCTCATTTCCGAGAGTACACTCTCAGCAGAGCCTCTCGAAATACTCAGTTTTCTTCCTCTCCTGGAGTACCTCTGCAAACAAATGACACCCAAAGCAAAAGTATCTCATATCACCAGGGTAGAAAGCAAGAGTATCTCATATCATGCTTTCTCCCTGTCCTTTCCTTTGTCCTTGTTCTTACCTGCAAAGACAAGGATAAAGAAAGCAATATGTTGGAACCTCCACTCAAACTCCGGGCAAGGAACCGACTACCGGGAACGTTTGCCCGGTTGCTTACCTGGCTTTGCTCTTGAGTACTCGTCTTCAGTTGCTGATGTACTTCCGAAGAAGATGCCATATTTTCCCGGAGAACAGATAAGGCAAGTGAAAATGATAACTTGAAGCATGTGGAGACAACGTGCTGATTTCCTTCAAGATCAAGTCTCCCCTTCCTTGCACAATCAACCAACCCAGCAGAAGGAGTCTGAGTTGAATCCAAGAGCTCGAGAAGTTTCAACAAACATATTGGCGGCACCATCGTCGAAGAACAAAGCCTCGCTGTGCAACGCTGTCAAAGCGCCACCACTTCTTCGAAAGCAAGAGTATTTCATATCATGCTTTCTCCCTATCCTTTTCTTTGTCCTTGTTTTTACCTGCGGGACAAGGAGAAGAAAGCAATCAGACAGCACTTGGTATCAAACTTCCGATCTGGAACCAACTGCTTGGAACCCTTCCCTGATTGCTTACCTAGCACTGCTCTCGAAATACCCATTGTTTCAACATCTTATGCTTCTAGAGAAAATACCACATCTGCCTGAAGAACAGATAAGGCAAGGGAAAATGATACATTGAAGCATGTAGAGACAAGCACAACAAAACACGAGTCGATTCATCCGTTACTTCTTCAAAATCAAAAGTATCTCATATCATTAGGGTTTCAATCACTCTGGGTTTGGTGGACCTGTTTTGACCCTCAAATTCTTGGGTCGACCCGCTAGACGTTGTGAGCTACACGTGCCGATTTACCACCCTTGAATCAAATCCTTAAAGATCAAGTCACCAACTGGAAGAAAAGCCCATCAATCTTGAAGATCATACCGTTGACCAAACTGCTCAGGTGTGAATTAGAAAGATTGAACAAAGCAACAAGTCGTCACTTTCACCTCGTGCTTGCTTGCAATATGTTCGAGTCAACCTTCAAGAATCAAGCCTCAACGGCCCTTGAAGAAGTTTCCAGCCAAATTCAAGATCAAGCCTCGACGGCCCTTGAGGAAATCACAAGTCCGATTCAAGATTAAGTGTCTACCAACCTTAAATCAAAACCTAGTTCAAGAATAACCTGTGGAAAGTCAACAATTGGAGGAAACCAAAAAAGTCCTCCGAACCAGTTCAAGATCGAAGCTGTGGAAAGTCAACAATTGGAGGAAACCAGAAAATCCTCCGAACCAGTTCAAGATCAAAGCTGTGGAAAGTCAATAAGCGCAACAAAATACATGCCGATTCACCCACTACCAAAGCAAAAGATCATCTACCACATGAAGCTCCTTGTGGTCCAATTTCAACCTTCAAGATCAAGCCTCAACGGCCCTTGAAGAAATCACCAACCCAGTTCAAGATCAAGCCTCAACGGCCCTTGGATCAACATCTGCAGTAAGGGACTTCAAAACGCATCTTCTACACGTGACAAGCACATGTATACGATGCGCCTTGAAGTGGGGGCATTTGTAGACATCGAAATTTTGGTAAAATAAATGTTGATCAATAATTAAAATTTCAATGTTTATGTGTCACATAAGTTTTACACATAGCATGTGACTAAACGAAAAATCAAAATAAATCGGAAAAGTCATCAAACAGGACACGTGTCAACACCTGGCAGAAATGATTTATTTCATCTAATTATTTAAATCCAAAAAATCAAGTTTTGGATTTCTATAAATAGGAGGCCAAGGCATTCATTTTGGGACACCAATTCATAACCAATTCACCTCACACCAAAACCTTGAAGCTTTGAAACTCCAAAGCTCCTAAGCAAATCCCGAAGAATCAAGAAAGCCCTCTTCGTTCTTCGTCAACTCAACCTTCAAGATCAAGCCCCGACGGCCCTTGAAGAAAGTGTCCATCGTTCATCACTCGTTTATCCCTAGATTAAGCCCCGACGGCCCTTTGGATCCACGACGTCAACAAATTTGCACAACTGTTCATTCCAAGATCAAGCCCCGACGGCCCTTTGGACCAACAACATCAAATCCATCCATTGCAAAGATAGAATCAGAGGCTAAATTTGTAGAAGAGATTGTAACCCCTAAATCATCAATACAAATATTATTTTGTGCACGTGTTTCTTGTCTCGTTCATCGCAGGAAATTCCGTGTTTACAACAATATTAAATAACTAACAAGCGGATAGTTTCAGGAATACAAGCAATGATGTTCAAATCAGTTTGTCTTGCGTTTAAGCACAACAAAAAGGAAAAGTGGCTTCGTTGACTCATATATTGAGATTTGATCTTCAAGTTTCTGCTGATACAAGCTGAAGAGATCATCTAAAATTTCTTCACCAAATTGTTGCTTGATGAATCCCTCTGTGGCAGCTCTCAAGGTAGATGTGGTAACTTTAGCTATAGCAGGAGCACCGGGAGTGCCATGTTTCAAGACATGCTGAGGTAAGGTTTCCAATCTCTCTATCCTAAAGCATCCATTTCGTTCCACAATGACTTCCAGTTCTTGGGGAGACACAAAGTAGCAAGGGATCTTAAATGAATCTACTTTTTCTTCACTAATTACTCGCTGTATATATAAACGAAAACATAGTACTAATTACACACCCATATATGTATGAAAGATACGGTCTTCTGAAATACTGCAACAAACAACAATATTTGCAATATCAAATATGTGACATAAAACTCTCCAGTTACTATGACATTGATCGATTTTTATACATAGATAGGATTTATTTTAGCATTGTCACAACTACTTTTTATTATTTATTTTATTTTGATGCACGTTCACCTTGAAGTTGAAACATTCAAAATCCGTTAGAATACCTCTGCTCAGAAAGAAAAAAGCTTATAACGAAACGAATTTAATAGACCGGTGTATGCAGGTTGATCAAAACCCACAATTTCAATAAAGTGACGAGGGCTTCCTAAAAGGCTAAGGGCTGGTTTGGTTCTGTGCTTTGAAAAAAAGCTGTTGTGAGAATAAGCGGCTGTGCTGTGAGAATAAGCGGCTGTGAAATAAATCAGCAGAGTGTTTGGTAAACTTTTTTGTAAAAGTGCTTTTGAAAAAAAAAGCAGTCTGATAGTGGGTCTTTTCATTAAAGAAGCACTGTAGCTCCGTGTGCTTTGAAAAAAAGCCAGTTTTCCAAAGCTATAAATAGCAGCTTTAACTTTTTCCTTTGATTTCAGCTTATTCTCACAGCAGCTTCCAAAATAAGCCCCTTTTTTCAGTTTACCAAACGCCTAAAACCCTCACAGCTTTTTTTCATGGGTGCATTTTTTTTAATCACCTCACTCCCAAACCACCCCTAAGCACAATCAATCCTCGATGCAGATTCTCTAGTGCTCTGGCTCGGAGGAAACACTCCATGTCCTCAGCATATTGAGTTTGATATACCTTGAATACTTCGTCTTGGTTATTTGAGTAGTGGATCCGTCCTTTATTCCACGCACGGCTGTTTTTGTCCAATACATCTTTTGGTACTCTAGAAAGCAAATGAAGGGCTAATGAAAGTGAAAAAAGTTAAAAGGAAGCCTTGGGAAATAAGCGACCTTAGAAAGAACCTGACACACCCACTTAGGGCCGGCCCTGAGGGTAGCCCAAGTAGGCGCCTGCCTAGGGCCCCCACTTCAGGGGGCCCCCAAATTTTTTTATTTTTATTTTTTATATATAGGGAAGTGTTATTGATACTCTAAAAATCTCATCATACACTCTTCATAAGTGTATTTTTCTTTCCAAATATAGAAAGTTTGGAATGTAAAATGAGAATTTTGGAGTACCCATCATAATTTTCTATATATATTTATATATATAATTTTGTAGTTTGAGTAAAATATCTAAATATGAAATTATAAATATTTTTTTGGAACTTGCCGTGCAGCGTTTTAAGTTAGGGGGGCCCAAAATATTTCTTTTTAAATATGTGTGTGTATATATAATATATATAAATATATTTTTAGAGTTTGAATTTAATAAAATATTTAAATATAAAATCATATAATTGTCTTGAAACTTGGCGTACAAAGTGTCTTGGGTGGGGTGAAACTTCAGCAACAATTCAACTTTTTTTTGGGAATTTAACGCCCAGCATACTGGTAGCAAGTATGCACCTACGAATCGGTTCTTTCCCACTCCGCTTACAGAGGTCAAGTACCCGATTAATGCTTCACTTCTACTTCTTTTTCTATAATTTAATTTGTGAGTGCTGTGTTTGTAAATATAATTAGGATTTTCGATTCTAGGGTTTATGATTTGTTTATTTTAATGCATATTGTTTATGCGAAATCAGAGTATTCACTTGTCAAGTGTCCATATTGCAGTTATAAAATTCAAACTTGTGGATGCACTTAATAAAGTGGTTAAATCCCTTCAAGAAGATAAATGGATTATGGGTGCACTTAACAAGGTTGGTTACTTTTGCTTCCTAACTAGTTTTGGTTCAAGATAATTCGAAGTTTCGATGTTGAATTTTACCATATTTTTTATGCGCCTCGTTTTGTGTTGTGTCATTTGTATCAAACTTTTGTATTGGGTAGTGGGTAAATTTTGAATTTTAGGTTTCTTTGTCAATTATTGTTGCTTACAGAATATTGAGTTGATTGTTGATTGTGGGGTTGTTATTTCCTAATTGAAAAAGAGTTGGCTATCATGCCTCCTATTTGAAATAGTAAGCCCACTAACAGAAACAGAAAGTATCTCATTGGGTCTCAAAAAAGAAGAAATAAGGAAAAGGAAGAAGCATTAATAAAGTCTCAGGCTAGATCTCTTAGTAAGTTTTTCAAGAAACAAGATGATAGTTCAGTGAATGAGGAACAAGGGAATCATGACAGTAATGGGGAGAAAGATGAATTCACGACTGAGACTGATAATGAAGAGTAAGATGAGCGATATGAGTCTCTATCTGACGATGGTAGTAAAGAGCAAGAAGATGAACCTCTGATTGAGACTGGTTGAAGAACATGATCAAGTAATGAGAATGGTAAGGATAATGAAATTGTCTTTCCCTTGAATATTTATGATCCAGGGAATTGAGATAAGATTGATCAAAATCTTAGGGACATGTTAGTGGAAAGAGGTCCCAAAAGAGTTGGTGATGTTGCATTTCTGAAAGATAATTCAGGTAGGCATTTTTCTTTTGTACATTACATTAGAAAATTGCCTAATGGGGAGACGCAAGATAGGAAGTGGCTAGTGTACTCATGTTCTTTGGATATAGTATTTTGTTTTTGTTGCAAGTTATTCAAGAAAATTGGAATCAAGACTTACTTGGATAATGAGGGTCTTAAAGATTGGAAGAATATTGGTCACAGACTTACAACTCATGAAACTAGCAAGGAACACATTCACTACATGAGTGAATGGATTGAATTCGAAAGAAGATTGCAAAAATGTAAAACAATTGACGAAAGTGTGCAACAACAAATCAGCAAAGAGAAAGAACATTGGAGACAAGTGTTATGGAGGATAATTGTTGTTGTGAAAAGACTTGCAAAAGTTACTTTGACATTTCATGGAGACAATGAGAAGCTGTATGAAGAGAATAATGGAAATTTTTTAAATGTGATTGAAATGATTGCTGAATTTGATCCTACAATGCAAGAGCACATTCGGTGTATTGATACACATGAGACTCATTACCATTATCTTGGTCACAAGATTCAAAATGAATTGATACAACTGTTGGCAAGTGAGGTCAAAAGTGAAATCATAGCAAGAATCAAAGAAGCAAAGTATTTTTCAGTGATACTTGATTGCACTCCGGATGCCAGTCATGAAGATCAAATGTCTCTTATAATAAGGTGTGTGGATGTTACAAAAACTCCAATAAAGGTTGAAGAATTCTTTTTAGAATTTCTGAATGTACATGACTCAACAGGGCGTGCATTGTTTGATGTGCTTTTAGGTGCATTAAGCACTCTTAAACTTGATGTTGATGACATAAGGGGACAAGGTTATGACAATGGTTCAAATATGAAAGGAAAAAATAAAGGCGTGCAAAGCAGAGTACTTGAAATAAATCCTAGAGCATTCTACACTTCATGTGGTTATCATTGCCTTCATCTTGCACTTTGTGATATGGTCAACTGTTGTCCTAAAGCTATGTCTTTTTTTGGAGTGGTACAACGTATATATACATTGTTCTCATCCTCAACAAAGCGATAGAAAGTTTTTACAGATCATGTGCAAGAAAATCACACCCTCAAACCATTGTCACAAACTCGTTGGGAAAGAGAGAGAGAGAGAGAGAGAGAGAGAGAGAGAGAGATTTCAATCATTCATGATCTGAATTCAGTTCCAAGTACATGGTAAAAAAAAAGGTAGAGAATGAAAGTAGATGCACTTGCTATTCCATGTCCCAAAAATGGCTCAAGAATTCTCCTATTATTATTCTGTCTCTTTTGTTTAAAATTTTATTCTCATCTTTTGAAAAACGATGAAATAATTTGCTTTCACTGTGGTTATACAATTTCTTGCTTTCACTGGTTATACAATTTCTGCTTTATTAGGGAATCAAAAATTTTCTTTAGGCTAAGTTTGGCGAGGGGATTTCAAGTTTCAAGAGATTGAGCTCAAGTATACGTAGCAAGAAATGGATCATAAAAAATAGTCATATTGAAAGTGTTAAACCCATAAGAGAAAGTGCTCAACAGATAATAGATGCTTTGATTCACTTGGCAAATACTAGTGAAGATCCTAAGTCAAAGAGTGAAGCCGAATCCCTAGTAATCCATGAGCTAGAGAATTTTGAGTTCTTGTTAGGTATGGTTATTTGGCATGAATTGTTGTTTGCTATTAATACTGTTAGCAAAACTCTTCAAAAAGAAGACATGCATATTGATGTTGCTATTGATCAATTGAAAAGGCTTATATCTGTTCTTGATCAGTATAGAGAAACTAGATTTGAAGAGGCAATGAATGAAGCTAAGAAAATAGCAAGTGAGATGGGGATTGAGCCTGTTTTTCGTGAGAAACACATCATTCGAAGAAAGAAACAGTTTGATGAGAGTGCTAGTGAAGCGGCAACACAATCAGCAATTGAAGCTTTTAGAGTTGATTTCATTTATATAGTTGATCAAGCTCGTACTTCACTTCATATCAGGTTTGAACAATTTTAGAAATACAAAGAAACTTTTGGGCTTTTGTTTAATTTTAAGAAGTTAAAAGATGTAGACAATGATAGCTTGAAGGGTTTTTGTATCAATCTAGAAGGATTTCTGAAACATGGTGAGCATTCTGATATTGATGGAAAATACTTATTTATAGAGCTAAGAATCTTGAGAGAAACTTTGATTGTGAAGGAAATAAATCGGGCAATGGAAGTGCTGAAATAAATAAGACAAATGGATGGTTGTTTCTCAAATGCATGGGTTTCTTATCGTATTTTGTTAACCATACCAGTTACAGTTGCCTCTGCAGAAAGAAGTTTCTCAAAATTAAAGTTGATCAAATCGTATCTTCGATCAACTATGTCACAAGAAAGATTGAATGGGTTAGCTATTTTGTCAATTGAAAAAGAATTGGTTGAAAAGTTATATTATGTAAACTTAATTAATACATTTGCGTCTAAAAACGCGAGATGTGTAATATTTAAGTAATGTTTGCATATCTTTCTTCTTTGGATATGAATTCTAATGATTTTTTATGTAGAAATGAATTTTTTTCATGTATTTAGCGAACCATTTTCTTATACATATAAATGTACAATGAGTTGGGTGTCAAAGAACTTTAGGACCCCCACTCGAAGGCTTGCCTAGGGCCCCCATTTTCTCAGGGCCGGCCCCTACTGCATAGTAGTTCCTGTTCTGAGGGAGGGATTTGAAGAGCATGTTAAAATCATTTAAGGTATGATCGCTGAAGAAAACTTGAAACTCCGGGATTTGAGAACCCAGCCTTCCACTTTGATATTCAAATTTCACAGCTTCAAGTATATTTTCAACAGAAAAAAATGTATTCGGCCCAACTGAACGACCCAAATCTGCAATATGGAAGGCGTTGAATGGTAAAAACATGTCTAGGTCAAGTTTTTCTTTCATAGCCTGTTAGAACTCAAGCCCAAGGGAAGAGCCCAACCCAAAAGACTAGCCTGATAGGTGGGAGGACCCCAAGGACTTAAGTATCACTACACAATTGCTTGTGTAGCCGATGTGGGATCATAATATAGCCTTGCTTAGAAGTTCTTTAGTAGCATCAACAACTACTTTCTGCAAAATCACAAACCAAATTACAATGCTAATAGAGTTCCTAGGAATTTCCTAGAAATTAATAGAAAGTGTAGAATTTTTCAGGTCAACGGGCCAAGGGCCCACTCCAACAACAACGATATTGTCCCCCCACTTAACCACCTGCACAATCCTCAGGTGTGGGGTTTTATCACAAAAGGGTATTAGTTAGAGAGGGGTATTTCTATTTAAACTGCTTTCTTTCTTCCTTCCTGGCCGATGTGGGACAATGGATGTTCCAACACTCCCCCGCACGTGAGACCCCATTTTAGGGGTCACACATGGAGATCCACACATCGGTAACCACGTGGAATCAAGTCGGGGCTCACCCATTGTGCGAGGCCAATGGTGACCCACCCAATCATGTGGCATCTTTGGCCTACGTGAAGCCATGTCGGGATTCACCCATCACGCGTGGCCAAACGGGGACCCACCCAATCATGTGGCAATACAGGCATGTCTCCTGGCTCTGATACCATCGCACATGGCCAAACGGGACCCACCCATGTATTTCTATTTAAACCGCTTTCCTTCTTCCTTTTTGGCAGATATGGGACAATGGATGTTCCAACATAAAGGATTAAGAAAGAAGAAGTTTTTCTCTTTTCCAAGTTTACTAATGAAGAAGACATCAAAAGAATTTCGAAGTAGCCTGAAGAAAAAGAAAGAAAGAAAAAAAAAAGGAAAAAAAAAAGAGTTTTCATTAATTAGTAGAACCTATTCTGTAGAGTTGTTGGCATAGCTGTTAGGGCCATCTCCACCTTTCATTGGATATGCCTCAGAAACATTACTGGAATCCTGCATTGCAGCTGCCATATCTCTCTCTCTCTCTCTCTCTCTCTCTCTCTCTCTCTCTCTCTCTCTCTCTCTCTCTCTTTGTTTATCTGGGGGTTATGGCTGGTATGTGGGAGTCACTCCACAACTATACAATCCAAAAACAAGAAGAGAACAATGGGAAACAAATAAATTAGATGGAAGAACCACGAGTATATGATGTCATGGTTGTTATCTGGGGGTTGTGGGTGGTATCTTGATGCAGTAACCAAGGGTCTTATGCATGTATTGAAATCTACCAAGAGTCTCATGCGTATTGGAACCATCAAATATATATAATTGAGTTTTAGAGCAAGACAAATAATTAAGTAGTCATTTAAGAACATTTTAAATATTTTTGGGTAGAGCAAAAGTCCAATTCAGATTAAAGTTTCATTATGTTGTTTTCCTTATAAATATATGTACTAAACCCTTGAGAAAGGAGACTTGAATGAATTAAAATATCATTTGCTTAGTACAATCGAAGTGAGTTGTTTCTTCTTCTAAAATCAAGTGTGAGACTTGATCGTGTCGAGTGAATCCACGATTAGCAACGTGAATGATTTTCATTGCCCCTTGTTGAGTGATTCCCAGGTATCCCTCGTTCTTTATATTTCCCTCGTTCCTTTGGTTTTTTCCTATGTCAAGTGGCATCAAAGTAGGTTTTCCGCTACATTAGAAGATCATGGGTGATATTATCCATCCATTTGAAAACCAAATGGTTGAAGGGATTAGCTTGGTAGATTAGAAGTCTCCTTCAATTTATGATGAGTATGTTGATGATGATTCGCCAAGCTCCAATGTATGTTCTTCGATGGTGCCTATTGCAAGGGCATTAGGAAATGTAGAATTCATATTGAACTTTGATCATGAGGCACTTTGTTTTCTTAGTACTCAGAAAAAGCTTAACCCACGACATGCTAAATGGACATCTTACAAAAATTTCGATGGCAGAGAAAAAGGGTCTTCATTTCAAGAATATTTGAAGGAGGTAGGTCAATACCACATTGCACATATGAGAGATGACGCTGCTGAAGTGAGAGATATCAAATTTCAAGATATTGTTGATGTGAAAGAAGGTACTATTTATGAATACATTGATTTTATTGGTTTTGATATTTTTAACTGAAAATATGACTTTAGCCCCTAAAATTTAATTTTTTCCACATAAAACCCAACATAAGTTTTTTATTTGAATAAAACTCATTTACTAGATTCCACATTAGCAAACTCATTAATTATATTTGACTTTACACATTTAAAAAAAATTGATGCCCAGAACACCCATATTTATTTGAATGTTTGATTTACACAATTAATTCCATACAAATTGTACGGGAGAATTAATGATTTTACAAAAATAAAGAAATAATAAATTCATTGCCTAATATATAATAACAATAAAACATGCCTAATAAATGTAGTAATACATGCTTAGTTAAGTCAATAAAATTATATTTTACATATAAATGTAGGTAAATTATTTCACACACACACACACACATATATATATATATATATATATAACAACAAACATAAAAATGCCAGATATACAAAAAAAAATTCATGCAAAATAATTTACCTACATAATAAAGCAAACCTAATATATGCAAGATAATATACATACATAAAAAACGTTATTATTTTATTCAATACTAGTTTACCTATTATTTGTACATATAATAATAAAATGTGCCCAATAAATATGATGATACATACAAAATAAAATACCTACATAATGAAGATATGTTATTTGATTCAAAATTAATTTACTTACAAAATAAAGCAACTGTATTTTATTCAAGATTAATTTACCTATTATTTGTACATATATCTTATTGACACACCCTGACTTGGAATGTCCACTAGGAACCCAAATCGGGCCGTGCTGGCCGACACCTGGAAGATGACAAAGCCATAAAGTGTGATAATGTATAAAATGTGAATAAATTAAAATCTAAAAGTGCCTAAGTACACGAGTGTGCGGTGAGCGAATATGGACCCATTTCACGCGTGATACAGAGCATAGGTATAGTACAGTAAGGTGAGATAATGATTATACCATCATAAAAAGACATGTGCTGAAAGGTGCCACGAATCCTCGTTGTTACGGAACTCTGTTGCTAAAACTTGGAGGGGTAGAAAAATAAAAAATGTGAGCGAGTGAAATAAAACTTTTCAAACCAATTCCAACTACTAAAGGTAGTAGCCCCTCGCCGTAATACCTGTATTATTTCCCAGAAAATAACAGGCGTGACTATAAATCAAAACCATAACCAAAATAATAGTCTTACAGTTATGCCACGACAAATATCTTAACAAGAATAAGTAACCCAGGTGAAATAAACCAATATGAAATGGCATGTTAGCTGGATCCACCTATCATGTACGGTTGAATCAATATATCATCACATGCTAGCTGGAGTCACCTTACATGACCTGTACGACTTATCCATATCTCATCAATCAAGGCTAGCTCATAAGTCGGAGTCACCTCTAGTGACCTGTATGACTTATCCATATCTCATCACATATGCTAGCTCATAACATATCTCATCATAAATGCTAGCTCATAACATATCTCATCATATATGCTAACTCATCACATATCTCATCATATATGCTAGCTCATCACATATCTCATCATATATGCTAGCTCATAACATATCTCTTTATATATGCTAGCTCATAGCATATCTCATCATATATGCTAACTCATAGGTCGGAGTCACCTCTAGTTACCTGTACGACTTATCCATAGCTCAATAAGTATACCTGCACACGAGTCGAAACCACCTAAGGTGGTCTGTACAACAAGACTGGGTGTAAATAAATACGCTCAAGTGCTACGATCACGTAAAGACTGCAAATAATCGCGGGTCACCTACGAGTCGGAACCACCTATAGTGGTTTGTACGACAGAACTGTGCACCTGCCTTGGATCCAAGGTAAGCGTAAGGTGCAGGAGGTGAACATCACGTGAAGGACTGTGCCCTGGCCATGGGCGGGAGCACTAACACCGGGGTGCAGGTTTATGAGCTCTAACTACATCTAATATAACATGTATGACTCATGGGCAACCT